AAAATTATATAAGAGAAATAGCACAGCTTCTCCAATTTAATCTAAACAGTGTATTGTTTGACACTAGTCAGCCATATAACCAGTTAGTACAATCAGGCTAGGTTTGGTTTTAAAACATTCATTCATTTGTCAATGGTAAATATAACAGGCATGCAACAAATTTAATGATGAAGCACATTGGTAGAATTGAGCACAATTTTGACTTTGCCATCAAAACACTCTATGTTACTATTCTTTTCAATCCCAGATACAAACCAAATCAACCATAATCACAATGTAACCTAAAACCTTTAATTGCTCTATATCATAGCCTACAAATCAACTAAGTCTCTAAGTATATACATATAAAGGGTATTTAAAATCAAATAGTTTAAGAAAAACAAAAAAAAATACAAAATGGTAGTTTTTTTTTTTAAAGGTAAAACATGTCAAGCAATACCATTAACAAAATGGTAGTATTAGTGGGTGGAGTTGTCCTACGAAATAAAATAGATTACCAACCTTGACATTTTTAAAATAAACATTTTAAATGGATAAATTGGTACAAAATTTAGAGGTTGAATTGAGCTTTGTCATCCTTAAAATATATAATAAATTTATTTTTTTATATAAAGATTTTCAAAACTAAAAGATTTGAACTTTAAATTTCTCTAAAAAGAATAATAAACATTAAATTAAAATTTAGTATTACTATAGATAATATATTTTCTTAGAAAGACAATAGAAAAAAAAAAGAAATCAATCTACAAACTATATTAATAATAGAGGTCTAAATGTTATCCTAAACCTTCTTTCTCCACTAAATATAAAGACTGAAGTTGACATAATTATATCAATTCCATTGTTAATGTATAAGATAATAATAATTAAAGTTAAAAGGCTGGATTAAACAAAAAGGAAAAGAAAATCAATTTGCAAACTATATCAATAATTTGATTCCATATTGCAATACATATTTTTACTAGCCTTAAGACAAATAACACAGCTAAAAATTTGATTCCATATTACAATATATATTTTTACGGGCCTAACAAAATGTCTTTAAACGGATTTGGACTGGGTTTCTGTCCATGATTTATAAAACCGAGATAGGATCTTGGATAATTAGATATCTTTGCTAGCTCCAATGGTCTAGATCTTCTAAAATAATGAATACATCAGTCAAGATTAGCATAGATTTTAAAGACAATTTGAGCATATTATTTCTTCCATTCCTTCCCCAAGTCCATAAAAGAATAGAAAAACAAATCTTTATCCTTCTTGTTTACAAACTAAGATAGGATCTTAGATAAGCACAAACCAGCAAACTCCCCAAGCCCAAAAAAGAAAAGAACACCAAATCTTGAGAAGCACAATTAGAGTTTGTCATTTCCAAACACAAATCAGTAAACTCAAAGCACACAAAACTAATTTATTCATATTTCAGTTCCAAATACACACAAAAAGGATCTGTTGTTTTCAAACACAAACTAATAAACTCAAAACACAACAAAACTAATTTAATCACATTTCAATTTTAAATGCACACAAAACGAAAATCTATTAACAATAGAAGCGGCAAAGAACGACCTTTGAAAGCAAAACCACCACGAGCTAAAGAAAAAAGAAACCAGAAACAACCCTGTAAAGAACGGAAGAAAGCATGATGGGTTGAGCAAATAAGGTAGGATCAAAAAATTGAAATTGAAAAACTGTAATACCCAACATCACACATCTGATGTGAATGTGATTGGTAAGATCTATATAACAATCCAAGTCTATTACTAGCAACTTGAGCTTAAGCTTTTAAGGGCCACGTGGTTTAAGCCTAAAAAGCTGTTGGGTTAGTGGTTGGACTTGAGTCGTTACAAATGGTATTAGAGTCTGTGCCAATCTGATGTGAGCTTACACATTGCTCTGGTGAGATCTTGGTCTTGTAGATGTGATATGACTTGAGTCGTTACAAATGGTATTAGAGTCTGTGTTAGTTCGATGTGAGCTTTCACATTAGGGGTGTGCGGGGATTGATTTTATCGATTTCGGTTCGATTTTTGGTAAAAATCGATCAAAAATTTTTACAATATAATCGACCGAACCGCATAAGATGTAATGTCAATTTCGATCGATTTTTTAGAGGCTCGATTTCGGTCGGTTCGATCGATTTTTAGGGTGGTAGATCAATGGCTGCTTCAGCGGGTTAGAGAGAGAAGGAGTCAAGGAGAGGCAGAAAGCAGGAAAGGAAGGGCAGGAGAAATTAAGTTCGGGGGGGGGGGGGAATTAGGTGGCCGGACGGGGGCAAAATTAGGCAGAAATGGGTAAAGGGTAATTTTGTCTTTAAATAAAAAAAAACCCCACCGATTTTTTGGTCAATTCGGGGGGAAGGAGTCCACCCCGACCACTAAGCTGATCAGTCGACGAGGCCAATCAGAACAACCAACGATTGCGGTCGGTTGCCCGGTCGCAGCCGACCGTCGCACAGTCTTATCTCACATTGCTCTGGTGAGATCTTGATCCTGTGGATGTAATGTGTAACCTTGATGAGGACATCAAGGATTTGAATGGGTGGGATTGTAATACCCAGCATCCCACATCTGATGTGAATGTGATTGTTAAGACTTATATAACAATCCAAGTCTACTACTAATAGCAACGGGCTAGTGGTTGAACTTGGGTCGTTACAAAAACAATGGAAGAAAACTTTGAAAAAGCCAAATATAATCTCTCATCCAAATTGACAAAATTGAGGTACAAAACAGATGAAGGAATTGGAAAAAATGATACTGCATTGAGCGGTCGAAAATAAACAAAGCTTCCATTTCAACGACCCACGTATCGGACTATACAAAGGAAATCGGTTGAAACCACTTCTCAATAAGCGAAACCATTGAGCAT